TAATATATATATATATATATAATATATATATATATATATTATATATATATATATGTGTGTGTGTGTGTCTGTGTGTGTGTGTGTGTGGTGTGTGTGTGTGTGTATACATATATATATATATATAATATATATATATATATATTATATATATATATATGTGTGTGTGTGTGGTGTGTGTGTGTGTGGTGTGTGTGTGTGTGGTGTGTGTGTGTGTGTGTGTGTGTGTGTGGTGTGTGTGTGTGTGTGTGTGTGTGTGTGTGTGTGTGTGTGTGCGTACGTGAGTGGGTGTGTATGTGTGTGTCATTGCGTGTACGCGTATGTCTGCGTGTTTGCGTGCCCGAGTAAGTGCAGGCATGTGTGATCTATTTACTTAGGTGTCTCTCCTTAACATCCCAATATCTACAATCTCGCTAAGCTAAACCAAACACACCCATTAATTGCCGCCTACAGGGTGTTTCAGCCTCATTAGGTGACCCGGAGCTGTCATCCCCCCCACCCCCCACGCCCGTCAAGGTGTTTACCCGCCCGTGAATCTTCCTAAAGTTGAATGTCTAAGTCAATATTTACTTGACGTTCGGAAATGAATGCAACTGGCGGACGTGAATGGCGCTTATTACCACATACTCAGTCATCTTCGTCTTTTTCACTCATTTTCTTTCTTTTTTTTATCCTCATCATCTTCACGCATTTCCCTTTTTTTTTCCTCTTCTTCATTTTCAATCATTTTTTCATCTTTACTCATTTCCTTTTTTAACTTCCTTTTCACTATTTTTTTCATCATCATCTACACTCCTTTTTTCTCTTTTTCATTTTCACTCATTTTTTCATCTTCATCCTCATTACTCATTTTCCTTTTTTCATCTTCATTTTCCCTCATTTTCCTTCTTTCCTTGTGCTGGTGAGGTAAGCTAAAGGAAAGTGAGTTAGGGTTTTTAAATTTTCCTAGTTTACGGAAAGACAGTTTGGTGTGTAGAGTAGAGAGTACCGAAAGAAATTATCCTAATATATATATTTATATATATATATATATATATATATATATATATATATATATATATATGTGTGTGTGTGTGTGTGTGTGTGTGTGTGTGTGTGTGTGTGTGTGTGTGTATACATATATATATATATATATATATATATATATATATATATATATATATGTGTGTGTGTGTGTGTGTGTGTGTGTGTGTGTGTGTGTGTGTGTGTGTGTAAATAGACTTATGGAAAATAGAAGGTTATTAGCGTAATTTAGTACTGATTTTATCATCGATGGTGTTATTACCACTATTCTTAACATTCTTGATTTCATTACCATGATTACCTCTATCATTAACATGGTAATTATTTCCATGCTTATTTTCAACGTAGTGATAATAATCATTATCATCATCACCATCGTCATTATGATTGATCTCGTTATCATACTTGATCATTACCTTATCATCGTCTCTGTGAGTTATCTAGAAGAGTTAACAAGGAACTAGTGAGTCAGCGCAAGGTAGGAGGTAAGGACAGACACCTAGGTAAATAGATCGCGCATGCTTGCACCTGCTCGGGCACGCAAACACGGAAATATACATGCACACACAAAGACATAGTCACACACACACACACATACACACACACACACACACACACACACACATACACACACACACACACACGCACGCACGCACACACACACACACACACACACACACACACACACACACACACACACACACACACACGCACGCACGCACACACACACACACACACACACACGCACGCACGCTCGCACGCACACACACACACACACGCACATACACACACACACACACACACACACACACACACACACGCACACACAAACATTCCCATTCTTAAACACTGCATAATTATAACATCATCCTTTGTGTAAACTAGGTCAAGTAATCTACCCATACCACCTCTAATGCACAGCTTTCATTGCAAAAAAACAACAACAACAACAACTTAAAACGAATACGAACTAAGCATATTAACATCACAGTCAAAGAGATATACGAATATTTAACGAGTTTCGCACAATATCCTCATTAGAAAATACATGACGGAGATGTTAAAGAAGCATATCAAATAGATCTCTCGTGAAAATATAGGCCTACAAACTCTCTCGTGAATAGTAAAACACTCTCCCGCGTTGATACTATGGTAGAAAAAAACACAAATGCATAAATCTAAGTTTCTGCATTGTGTGTGTGTTTTTTTTTTTTTTTAACCATAATATCTACAGCCTTTTCCCGTCTTTTACGGAGATCAAAATACTGAAAGTTGAAAGTGAGTTTTATGATATTGAAGGAGGGGGGAGGGATATTTATCATCTTGATCAAGGTAATTAGTAATTAATGGAGAGGAGTGAGCGAGTGAAAAATAAAATCGTGGGTGGGTAGTGATCGGCCATCTTACCTGGCGATAAATTAAGGATGTAAACAGAAAGGGATAAAGAGGAAGATGGAAAAGGAAGAAAGACTGATAATAA